CCGTGAGGGCGAATCCAACTTGTGATGCATCCCAACATTATCCATTCCTTAACAGGTACCAACCAATGTCTACTTCAGAGAGTTACAGAGTAATTTCACTCAGGTCACCTCAATGATGTTGCTTAATGTCTTCGATTTCTTTCTGATTACTGTTGTGAGGGTGTCCTTCGTAGCTTCATCCTCCAGTTCGTGACTATTCGACCTGAACTGTGGTCAATCTGCGGCTTCTTTTAATGTCTCCAACTTGGTGTTGAAGGACCCTTGCACTAATTAGTGTCTGAACCCACATGCGCTCCACTTGTGGGTATCCTTGTTACCACGGACGCTGCTTTCAGTCAAAAAGTCATTAAAGTCGAGGAAGTCTTCGGAGAGTTCTCTGCTCTTATTCATTTCACTGAACGCTTGTCAGCACATGGTGAGTTGTCTTCCTGTGTTGTCTGCTCCCACTTCGACATTCGTGTCACTCATTAGTAATTTGATTTCTCCGTGTGACTGTGACCTCATTCATTACTACTTGCGGTTGGCTGTGGAAGTCCTCCTGCTTCTCCACTGGTTCTGCGTTATTTGTGGCTGCGAAGCACTGTGTTATTGTAACTTATTACATTTCCTATTGAGCTGAATCCTGCTATCATGATCCTGGAGGAGACCGGTTCCCACTGCACGAGAGACTCCGATGCTGCTGGCGACTTCATGGTAGCCACGCCATAAATGTGCTCGTCGTTATCATCCGGGTGATTGGATATGATTAGTAACTCCCAAGTTAACAATTTACGGAGTCCGCTTCCATTCTGTCCGCCTTCAAATATTCATAACACTTATGTGTAGTATCCTCTCATTTCTCCTGATATTTGAGCAGCATCATTAGCCTCAAACATGATGTGGACGTCCTACAATTGCTTCTGATTTTATCAAGAGAAGACAGATTTATCGACTGGATTCCCCAAGTCCTTCACCTACCTAGAATGGGTAGCTTTGATCTTCCAGTTAGTTCGGAATCATCAGTTTGCTGTTTCGTTCATTTCATCTCTCCTATTCCAGAGAATTTTCTGTAACATCTTATAAACTAATCTGTTCATTAGGACGCATGCACACATGTATAATATGTTCATAAATCTGTATGTGGAGACCTATTGGAAGCACTCACTAAGAAAGCTAGGGAAATGGAATGTGAGGTACGAACGTGTCTGGAATCAAGCAATATATTTGCTGTAGCCATAACAATCAGAGCCCAACATCATAAAAGGAGGGAGGGTGGCGCATGCTGATCAGTAGATATGGTGGTGGACACTAAGGTGAATCGCCCCATTCTGCATGAACAGCAATATGCAATTTGATGGCTCGAGATTTCTATGAGGGCTTGAATCTTTATCTTGAATAAGATAATAATGATCGCCTGGACAGATTATGCCTCTACCTATAAACATATACCATTCGGTTAGCCTATTGCTGAGATGCGACCACGTGGGCTCTGCACAGATTTATGGGGCATTTTATAGCTCTTTATGAATTTGATTCGACTTATTTTATTCCTATTCTCTATAGGGTACGGTTGTGCACCAAATACACAAAAAGGTATGAAATAAAAACAACCGGCTTGTGGATAATTGTATTAAACCAAAAGTGGACTCATGATAGTAAGACCTATATGGGTAGCATTATACATTGCAAATGAACTTTGTCAGCCTAGGGATTATAGTCTCCCATTATATTTCCTTTATGAATGCATTTATTAATGATACATTGCATTTACCTTTTTCACTACACTTTAATGATTCACTTTAGCAACTTTACTTTTCTAAAACAGCTTACTATCACTTGTAAACGTTGTACCCTCCTCAATATTGGTTGGTTATAGTATGCCTACGACGAAATGAAGTCGATTTTCCTGCGCAACCTGGAGGACTGCTGTTTAATTCAATAATGATATGACATGGGTCAGACAAAGAGTGTATATACATATATATCAAATATTAAGCTGTTCAAACATTACTAACTTGTAGACAATCTACTATTTCACATTGTATCAGACTTAATCGTGCCTGTAAAAATGGCAAGCATTTTCATGTAAATTTATGTTTATATGAAAATATAAAATTATTATTATAACCGATTGGGTTGATTTTCAAGATTGTGGTTGCTAGCCCAACGCCTGACGTTTCCTCTTTTCCATGGGCTTAGGACTGGCTAGCAAACTAGGCGATGTTAAATCCTAGATGATTATTTATTTCCTTTCGAATATTTATTTATATTTCCTTTACAATTCACAAACGCCTTGCTCAAAGGCGTACAAAACTCTGATTTGGTAATTTTATTCATTTCAGTCTCACTCAAAACCAAACCAGTTAATTGCAATTAATGTATCCTTGATAACATTAAAATGAATTCCCCAATCAAGTCAACTTTTATTGGTGCACTTTTGGTCAACATGAAACATTTAGGATTGCTGAGGGGAGTAGGCTTTGGAGTTATATCAATTCCTACCTGTTGCACAATCACTGTTCCGGATTTCGTTTTCCTATGTGTGTCTGATATAGTTCGAATATAATGTGCGAAATATACCACTATTGAAGCCTACGAACACCCCACAGAGGGTTCAAAATCCTTCTTAGCTGCTTTCTTTTTACAGTCTTCTGAGGTAACCAGGTCATGGTTAGCAGTATTTCCTTTACTTATACTCACTAAACATCAGAAGAATGACGCTATTCGTTGAGTAATTGTGCATGTTGTTTTGGGCAACACGTATATTGCTTGTACCACTCAATCAAATAACCTAAATACTCCACCACACCAAGCATATCACTGTTATCAGAGGCTAATATCGTCGATGAACAGCATATGGGATGATCTAGTTGTTGACAGTATCTCGTCTATCAAATTAAGAAGGTGAGTAGGCCTAAAAGTTCATCTTAAGGAACACCATTCTTTACTGAATTCCATGATGACAAGACTTCGTCAGCTTTCAATGTCTATTTTTCGTCCGTATGGAGGTGACGAACTCAGTCTCTTACCATTTTTCTGATTCCAGAACCATCTAACCTTGCTAAATGGTGTGAATAAAAACCCTCAGCTAAAGCACCCCTAAAGTCGAGAAGTTCGGCATCCATCGGAATATTGGCACCACCGGCATCAACTTAACCTCCTTGTGCGAAAATTAGGCTGGTGAATTAGGAGTGGCCTGCCCTAAAACCATGCTCTTTCTCCATCAAAAGTTTATGTCCTTCAAAATGCTGATTAGTAGCATCCAGCTAAACTAACGGGACAGTAAGTCCGAACACAGTTTCTAATTAATTCACACTAAATTAAGGAATGGAGATGTTGACTAAAAGCACAATGAAGGCTTTACAATCAAATTATACAGCCTAGAGAGCGAAACCAACTTGCCTCCTGGTCAATTGCTGGTTTCCGACATTTCTCTTCAGACTCAATTAATTGGTCAAGCCTTAGAATAACTGTAATATAGGTCGTCAAGTGAAATCCTTCTTTGTCTATCCTTTGCGACTACTGCTGAACGAATGTTGACTGAACATCGAAGAACGCACATGAATTTGGCGACAAGTGTCGAAAGAATTCCAGGGCAAAACATCGGTTACTTTATCACATTCGCACCCACCGACCTCCAGCTTGTTTCATGAAACTGTCAGTCCCGCGATGTATATCAAATATTACTTTGCTTACTTAGTAAACAATTAGAATTGCCTTTAAGAATCGAGGCTACAACCTTCGACATATAAAACATGTGTTAATTTCAACCTCCAGATTATCATCAAATTTTTACGAATACCTGTCAACCACCAATCAAAAGCATCAGATGAACACTATCCATATATGCCAGTTTCAAGAAACTCGCTGTTATAGTAAATATATGCCCCCACCAACCTGATCAGTTTCCTCTATTATTAGGCCTCCAGAAAGCCACATAAACACCAACACATAACCAGCATCCCATCCCAAAATAAACCCCCACATGGTAACTTTCAAATCAAAGTAAACGCGACTACTAATCCCAAATCTAATATTTCCTCTGTCACTGGATTCCCCCGCCTGCTTTCAGATTATAGTAAAGATAAGCATACAAGCAATGCCTCTCTTAATGAAGATATTAATAACCTTTCCAGTGGTGCCCTACTGAACTCTAAGAGCTGTATAAGAATGTAAGGAGTGGACTTCCCATACGTAGACTAGCGTTCGGAAAATTCACTGAAACGTCTAGCTCAACGTCCTCTCCTCTGCAAGAGTATAATTCTGTTAGGAGAAAACTAAGTACACCGAGCATAACTCCAACCAATACAACCCGCTATCTTTTCCCCTAGTCTCAATCTTTCCACACAGTCAACTGCAGTTATCCCGATGCTGCCATATTGTGACTTAAACGACAGGCGCGTGACTATCGCATTCCATATTGAATAATACTGTTTGTTTGATAATTCACTCTTGGCAATTTTAATTTCCCTAATGCAATTCTACGTTGATTTTTTTACACGCTGATGTACATACTTCCGAATCGGCTTACCTATCCTATAACTGTATTAAGAATACGTATGCCTCACATTCGTATCTCCATGCGATAATGTGGGTCTTCGTTATACCCTCCCGTATTTTTCCCTTCTTCATTAGCAAGTACCTAATTTTGGGACTTGTATTAAGTAGCAGAAAGGAAAATAATTAACAGCCCCAGTCGTTTGAGCAATTGAAGCACAATTATTGATGTATCCGAAGCATCTGAAAGAAGGTCGATACGTTATATAGCTAATATAATCTTAGTCCATTTGCATTTTGTATCTGTGACTTAGCGTGTTACTCTCTTGTCATGTCGATAACTACACACTAGTAGTTTTAAAACATTCTGCTTTAAACTCCTGTAATTTTTATAGTTAATTCCAAACATACAACTTTAGTTTATTACCATAAACGGATACCAAAAATCCTACATTTTGTAGATGAGAAATGTTTGTTTAAGCTCATCAGAAAAATGTATCTATGACAACAGTGGTATTACTTATGAAAGAACTAAAATAACAGGTGGGTAAAAGGTTGAGTCAGTGTGCGTTCAGATTTCTAGAATGAATGATTTTTCCACAAGTTTTAAACTGTCTTTTCGTTAACTTGACATACACATTTTGATAGTTGATCCCTGCTGCATCTAAAAACATTGGCAGCGTTGAATGCTAACTTCGTAATTTTGTCCTGTTTTCTTATCAGAGTGAGGATTCCGTCTTTTAGTGAGAGTTATTGATTAAAGCTTTCATGAATAATGTTGCTACTCTTTTGTTTACAAATGTATTTTACCAGAGTTTCGTGCAGATGTACATCAGATCTGATGTACACCGATGTACTTACGAAAGCATAAATTAGAAATAAGTCTACTAATTCACCCTAATAGTTATCTCCCCTCAACAGTGGTAAGACGCTTCTTTTCGTGGCTGATTTTCCACGGGTAATTTTGTCAAACTATTGTATTGACTACAACGATGACCATGTTGGTGGCACAAAATTTAAGTATGCATATTAAGTGATCCCAGCTAGAATTGACTTTGGGCGCACTGAAGATACTTTGGGGTAGAGTGCAGATAACTGCCCCGAGGAAAATGCTAGGTAGTTTATCCATTTTGTCACACCTGTCTGTATACTTTTCATTTCACTATTTAATACAACTTGAACTGATGCAGTTCTCTGCTGTTCTATTAGCCGTTAAAGTGGACAAAGCTAGAACTGCGCAAAGTAGTGGGCGTTTCTCTAAACATACTGCATGAAAATCAAATAGGTGTGATTTTACATTGGTTTAAGTAATCGAGTTTTTGATCACTGGATTTTGAGTGCTTAATTGCATTTTCGAAGAATTCTGAAAGTTTGGCAGGTGCAGCATGGCACCAAGAAGCAAAAGGTTTCATGAACCTTATGAACTATGCATACTAAATGAATGAAGCTATCGTGAAATTTCCGAAAAATATCCCCTTACATCTTTTATATCCCAAGGATTCCAACATTTCATCATAACTCTCATTGATATGAGTATAAAACTTGGGCACTGTGGTAGAGTATAACTCCATTATGGATAAAAATTCATTTCGACAAATCATACAGTGTTACACAGTAATATTAACTGATGACGTTTCGAGCACAAATTATAGGCAACATATTGTGCACCTGCGTTTTGAACAGCTGTATGAGAGAAATCGAGACTAGCTTCTTTGAGAAACAACATAGTTAATCGAATACGCAATGTAGCTTTCCGATTAAATCTCTGGAAACAAGGCTACGTGGTATTTGTGGTAATCGGATCGGGCTTCTTCTGCAAATGCATTATCGTAAGTATCAAGTATACCAACTTGTCACTAAATGTTTGAAATTTGAATATTCAATCCACTGAATTATTTGAAGTTATTCTGAGACGTTTTTCATCACAAACAAGTGAGAGTGATATAAAGCAGTGTACTGATCTCTTCAATAAAATTTAATTTCTTGTTTACAAGCCTGTGAGGAATTTTTTCTACTGATAAAAGTGTAAGACTTTGATCCTGTGATGGTATATAATTCTACATTGGTTTGTTTATTAGGTATACCACACAGTGAACCATTTGTAATTCAGCGATTGACGTTCTGAACTCGATTTATTGTTCACGATTATATGAAATGTATATAAACGACTTGGAAACTCGATTTCTTTGGTTCACTTTTTTCCTCCCCATCTGTTTTAAGGATAGTAGAATTCCCCAAATGTCCAGGACAGATGTTGATCCATTCTGATTGCACATATTCTCATTCGCTTTGATTTGTAAATTGTTACTTGTCAGCCTCCCTTCACACTTTGTCATATTAGTTTTTAAGCCGATCACTCTGTCTCATCCTTTGGTTTGGTTGTGTTTAACTGCATGTATTGCCATAAATGAGCCTTTCTTTTTGGAGTCGGTACATGGATGATACATTTTTGATTATGAAAAATGAGGATGAAGCAAAGAACATTCTGGATAAATTTAATGAGTTTCATGTTGCAATAAATTTCACTGTTGAGAAAGAAAAAGACTCTAGTATTTCATTTCTAAACGTCCTTACGACCAGAAAAAGTGGCACAATAAGAAGTGTATTTATAAAACCTACATCAACGGGTCAGTATGCTCATTTTTTCAGCTTCGCTCCCTCAAAATACAAACTCAATCTGATAAAGTGCTTGGTTCACAGAGCAAGAGCAGTCTGCTCGGAGGAATGTCTTGGTGAGGAACTTAATAATATTAAACGGTTTCTGAGTGATAATGGTTATCCAGAAAAGTTTATTAATAAGAATATGAATCTAAAATTAAGGCAGCCCAAGGTATAAACAGTTCCTAAAAAGGCCTTATTCTTACAAATTCAGTTCCTTGGAGAAAACGTTAGCGAGATACTAACACAACGCCTTGGGAATGAGTTGAAAAGAGCATTCCCTGCAGCTAAATTACTCTGCGTCTTCAAAGCCACTCCTCTTTTGCGTTCGGGAGTAAAAGATAAACTGCCCAATTTCGCCTCTTCCATGTGTACCTACCAATTTAACTGCTCCTGTGGAGCCAGTTACATAGGCCGTTTAATTAGACGTGTTTCTCGTCGGATTTTCGTACATCACTGTACGTGGTTAAGTAAAGGATAACAAAATCTATTCGTAGCGCTATTCTATCTCATCTTGTGGATATAGAACACAAGATTAATGTTAACCAAGCTTTCAAAGTCATTTACCGCATACCAACAAATCTTAGCTTCGCCTTAAGAGTTCGATTACTAAATGTTGCTAAGGCTCTTCGGATCCACACTAAGAAGCCTAATTTATGCGTCCAAAAGAATCTAGTTCAGAAATTATGCTTACCTTAGCCATTTAGGTTTGAATGATCCTCAATCTTTGTGGAAATTTTCCTGATTTTAGTTGATATTCTATTTGCTACTGTATCTTTATTATTATCATCATAATTTAAGCATCTTTAATGATCTGTAATTCCATTGATCTTACTTTACAAATCGATATTATTTAAAAAGCACTAATATTGTTATTGACTACTATTCTAGAATGTTCTATGTATATTAACATACGTATAATCGTAGAGCCAGAAGAGGAAATTATCGTAAAGAATATTCTTTGCTCAATTATTTTGCGTTTTATAAATGTCTGAATGAATATTTTCGCTATATTGAGATCCGAAGTTCGCCAAGTTTTTGTATTTCACTAATCTAACTGACTCCGGCTTACTACTCTGATCTGTATATTCCACCTTACAGTCATTGCAGGGTATTCAGTAGACTAAATTATCTTGTTTAATGGTTTCCATAGGATCCCGTCACCGAAATAATTCTTTCCTAAATCAGTCAGTATGTTCGAATTCAACTCTTATTCCTGTCTTGTTAGGGATCCCAGGCGAGGTTTCAAGATTTCATTTCTGTATAGTAATACTACTGGTATCTGCCATTCATGTCGCCGTTTGTTATTATCATAATTTGCTATATGCATCCTGTTTAATTTATGGGAGTAGTTATGTAGTGCCAAGGCTTCTTTCACACACCACTTTATTTTCACTAGTCATCTCCAAAATACTGTTGAAGAGAACTACCTGTATTCTCGGCATTTTGGAATTCAACAGCTAGCCAAAGATTCTTTTCTCCATTTGAAGGACTTCATTGTCAAAATTTCGTTATAACATAGTATAGTCTTCAGGGAAAATGTTTTACACTTGCTAAAACGTGGAAGTTAAGGAATGTGAAATAATATCCTAAAAGTGAATAACACTAATACCAAACTTAAGATACAGGGTTTTCGGATCACTTTAATTACACGATGGCTTGATCTACCTTAGCAAACTCATCTGGGAAGTGAACATTGTGAACTGAGGTTCTTACATCTACACTATTTTTAAGTAGGTAAGACAGATCAATTTTAGCAAGAAACGAAGTGATTTTTGAATATGGTTGTTGAAAATTATACAGAAATCTTCAGGCAGATTGTGTACATGTCTATGCTGACTGAAATGGCCGCACTACTTAATGGGCACGTTACGCTATCATCTACTCTTATATGTTTTCCAGCTGGGGTTCATAAAGTCCGAAGCATTACACTAACATAGGGCATTAGTGTGTAAGGTCAGTGAATGTTGGCTGAAGATGTAACGAATGGTGAACTTCCCTAAAGGACCTCACATAAGTGTATAAATTGGTGCTCGATGAGATTACGTATTATCCCATGAATTCGATGGACTGAACTCAGATCGGACCACTTATCTCTTTCAAGACCTTAATATATACCAATTTTACACCTGTTCTTTTCCTTGTCGTTTAAATCTTCCTACTAATTCATTTCCTATTTTCGCGAACATATTTCTAGCAAAACTAGAAAACAGTCCGTTGAAAGATGAAATAGCAAAAATGTAAGTGTATTGTCGTCACATGGATAACACTTTTGTAGTGTACAATGAACAGTTACCTAGTGGTTTGATTTTGAGCAACTTTAGTAATGCTCACCCAGCAGTCCATTTCACCTACGAAGGAGAATATGACGACTCTGTGCAATTCCTCGACGTCCTGCTAGCGAGAAGAGAGGATGGTTCCGTCAAAAGAACCATACTTAGAAAGCTAGAGACCAAAGCTCAGTGTACACACTTTCTTAGCTCCGTGCCAACGAAATACAAATGTAATTTGATCAGATGCTTAACATTTAGAGCAAGGTCCATTTGTTCCGAAGACTATGTAGAGAAAGAACTCCAGTTCATCCGAAACATTCTAAACGAGGACGGATATCCAGAGAAGTTCATTAAAGCCAACATAGGTTACGATAGTCGTAAACGAGAACTGGCAACGCTGAAGAAAAGCCTCTATTTTCACGTCTACAATTCAGGGAAGAAACTCCTGTGGAGATTCTATCTCAGCGTTTAAACAGGGAGATAAAGAAAACTACTTTGCACATCTGTTCCCATCCTTCAGTAGTCGTCCAGTGTTCACCCAGCAACTGAAAGATGTCCTACCTAACCCTAGCTCTTCTTCATACATGTACCATTTCGGCTGTCCCTGTGGTTCAAGTTATATAGGGCATAAGATTAGGCAGGTTTCCCAACGGGTTCGAGGACATTCGCCAGTTCAGTTCAGCAAGGGGGAAATTAAGTGCATAAAAAGCTGTATCCTGTCACACTATATCTATACTGGACATCGCGTCCACGCCAACACAGCTTTCAGAGTTATATACTGAATTTCGAAGTCGTTATCACATATAGTTCGCTTACGTCTCCTACACACAGCTGAAGCCGTTGGAATAAGATCGACTAGACCGAAACTTTGTATCCGAAAAGAATACTTCCAGACACTGTTCCTACCGTGGTTAAACTTTGATTAATGATTTTTCTGCTCACCAAGAGTGCTTCTTCCTCTTAACCCTCTTCGTTTTTTCTTTGCTGATTATTGCAGTTATTACTATTATTCGTGTAATTTATTCCTTTCACTCAAACATTCTCTCAATACTATCGAATTTTCCATTTATACTACCCGAACTTATTATCAGTGATATTATCTCTTTTCTCAATATATGCCTTCACCTGTTTCATTTCACACATTCGTTATTTCATTATGAACCTCTCATTGCAGTCTTAATTTCTCCTCTTTAATACATACCATTTTGTACTAGCCACTCACCTGACACCTTTTACAACCTTGAACTGACTTGCAGGTTTTTCCTACCCCATATTCTACGAATATATTATGACTAATCACCACCGTTGTCTCCCATATCACAATATTTCGTAATCGACTTTGGCCTAGCACGTTTGTCACGCAAATACGACTATTTATTTTGACACCCCATAACTAATCTGTTATCCTACGTTAAGAAATGCATCCGCCGCATAACTGGCCATTACTGTAACGACAATAAATATTATATTTTATAATTGTAAGAACCTGAAAAGAAATTATTGAAAAGAATATTCTTCGTTCAGATTGACTTTTAATTCATAATATGGGACTATTTCACACTATTAAATTCTGCGTTTGCCCAACTTTTTTCTTCTGTTGGTAAATTAGAATGAATTGTATTATGTCAAGTTAGATATTTGTTGATCAAAATTATTAGTAATGACAAAGAATTAATTCATTTACTGTGATCTACTTATTCTTGAATTACTTCATCATAATTCATCCTTTGATATCTTACACCAACTCAGTTTTCACTGGCTAATAATAAGCAGTAGGTACCTAAATACCAACACTTTGTTTGTATTCAACGTTGCACGCGATATACGTGATGATACAGTTTTTCTTTAAAAACTTGCTAGATGAATTAATTTGTTTGCAATAACTAACTCTTTGTTCTTGAGAGCAGAGAAATATATCTCACTATAAAGAAGAAAGATAAATATACTTTCAAGCTCCCGGCATCAGTGAGATAGATATTAGGTAAGTAACCAGTAAAATAACAATCATAACTAATCGAAAATTACCCATGAAATAAATTTGTATGAAACTCATTTGTTTACTACTTTAGATGTCGCAAGAAAAACCTAAAACTAGTGAAGATAATGAAGAGCAAAGGAACCAGTACCTTGTTTACGCGCAAATGGAAAGTCTTAATGAGAAACTGAAATTGTTAAACTATGAGAAAGAATTCTGCAAGTAATTCTGTTCATGTAATAATAAACTACCCACAGGTTACGACACCAAAAACCCATCACACGGCATTATTTTGCAATCTGTACTAATCCTGGAGAACAGTTCCACTGTTTCACTGCCCTGGCTGCTTGGCTGATTTCACAGGCAAACGGCAAAATTGACCAACCACAAGAATATGATGATCCAAATGCAACAATTTCAACTATTTTGGATGCTGTTAGGACTTTAGGATATACAGTAGAATTTCCACCCTTAAAATTAAAAAGTGGTTGTGGTGAATACTGTATTAATGTTCTCAATATGCTGGCTGATGCAAGTATCCAGGCTCGGAACATTAAACTGTTACCACCTAAATATCCGGAAGAGGATGCAGACGAACTCGATGTCCAGGACGATGAATCCTCGCAAACTGATGAAGAAACAGCTGAATGGACAGGAGCGTCTATCGGTAGTCGTTTCAAAAACGGTCTTTCAGACTTTGACAGATCAAGACCGTTTGATGAGCATGGTGACGATGATGCTGACGACGATGATGAGATAATGGATTTGAAAGGTAAATATCATAAATGTTTTTTTGCAATTATAAGGTTTAGAACCATCGTTAGGCAGCTTTATGTCGTTAATAGCTTCGACACTCTGCGTGTTAGATTCGTAATGATTTGAGTGATGTCAAGTCGGTTTCAGCCAAAGGCAACATCAGCTATAGAACTATTGTTTCTTCCTAGTCCAATGATGATAGGTGGACATGGCTTTAGGGTCTGAAATAGCCGAATAGTGCTCTTTACTATTCAGAGATTCTCTGGATGGTGAAATCTACCCAGAATCTTTTATAAGTTTATTAAGTATGTCACTATGCTTACTGCTTTTATGTATGCTGCACTGAATGCCATTCCTTCTATTTATATGTGAACAGGGACCGAAAGTATACTCAGAGGTTTCCAATGAAAACGCTAATAACCATCAGCCATAAACTGACTTTACTGATAGTATGTAAAACAACCTGCTGTGCATATATCAGTACTTAGATGATGTAGTCAGTAGTGCCATAGTGTTTCACTTCAGAACACCGATGAACAGAGATATTCCCAACTCTTTGAACACATATTTATACTGAATCTGAATCAGTTTAAAACTAGAATGAAAATAAAATTGCAGCTTAACGGAAAACTAAAACTATCTACTAACAAACGATATCTGCTGACACCTTGCGTTTATGCTGATCTCGTCAAGCTCACAACCCAATATACTGAGTTTTGTGCACATTTATGCTATGTTAAGATATCGAATTTTTCATGGGAATTTCGAAATGCATATTCTGTGTGCCTAGAATTGGGGATGTACAATTATATTTACCATATTACTTATGCTAAGTATATCAGACATCAGTTTGTGGTAAAAACTACCCTAACCTATTATTCTACAGTTATATGAAGTGTTAAAAATTCAAATGTAGCTAATATCTTCGAACAATGAGAAACTCGTATTTCATTGCATGTCAACTTTCAAACTACTGAAATGTGAGCATCAATTTTTAGCATTTACTACACGAGATAAAGCTTTATACATTTACGGAGTCAGTAGAATTGGCAAAAATTGTAGGTAAAATCCTTTCCAAACTTCAAACGAATCTCCTAACGTACATTCTTTGGCTTGCAGAAAGTTGTCGTAAGACTGAAACGGTCTAAATACTTCAAAGTAAGTTAAGTTTAAACTTATTATTTAGTTTTTCATGTCCAGATTTTTAGCCTTTAAACCTTCACTGTAAATTGTAGGACTTAGTCTGCAGAGCGGTCAGTCCCATAAAGCTGATTTGACTGAAACAAATGCAGAAATTAAAACTATGAGCAAATCGGATGAGAAAAAGCTGGATGGTTATGGAGTCTCAGAATGTTATATAGATCCAGCAGACTGGCAATTAGAAGTTGAAAGAATATTACCACAACTCCGCGCCAATGTTCGCAATGACATAAAGGACTGGAGGACACATTTAGATCAGATGAAGCAACTAAAGGGAGAAATTGAAACTACCTTCCAGGATGCGAAGTCCCAACTAGTCAGACTACACAGTGATCTAAACACTGCAGTAGATAAAATAAATAATCGGGAGAAGTACATGAACAATCAGGTGGAACCTTTGTTAGCTCAGTACAGAACTATGCAGGCAAGTTTTACATGATTTTCTAACACCATTTAGTACGCATATTCAGAAATAATTCTCTGAAGTAAACAATCGTATCATTATTGTTCCTCGGGTTCCTAGTGGAACATAGGGCTTCAACTGCACGCTTCTACTTGCTTCTGTCTTCTGCTGTACTTTTCGCTTGCATCCATGTTAGTCCATATTGTCTCACCTCCTCATCACACGATCTCCTCCATGTCACCCTTGGACGTCTCACTCTACACCTCACTTTCGGGTTACACTCGAGGGCCTGAAGCGCGATGTCACCCAGCGGCCTCCTCAGCAAGTGTCCAATCCATCTCCACTTTCTCCTGCATATTTGTTGAGCAATTGGTTCTTGTTTTGTTTGTTCCCATAGTTTCTTGTTGGTGCTTCTTTCCGGCCATCTGATCTTGAGTATAGAGCGAAGACAGTTGTTGATAAAGGTCTGCAACAGGCTGTTGGAAATATTCTTTGTGACCCGCCAAGTTTCTGATCCGTATAGAAGAACTGACTGACTTGACGTTTGTATTGAAAATCCGAATTTTGTTGTTGATGTTGAGTGACGAAGATTTCCAGATTGGTTTCAGGTTGATGAATGTGTTTCTCGCCTTCCCGATTCTCTATTTGACATCCTCGTCCGTTCCTCCTGTAGTTGAGACAATGCTCCCTAGATAAGTAAGTGAATGAAGTAACCTCTTTCAAATCCCTCCCGTTGATGGTGATTGGTGCTGGATGTTGCTGCTGTTGTTGTTGTTGTTGGTTGGTTATTTTCATAACCTCCGTCTTGTCTATGTTCACCTGCAGTCCTGTCTTTGCTGCTTCTTCGACCAGTTTGGCGGTTTTCGCTTGTAAGTCTTCGATTTTGTGTGACATCAAACATAAATCATCCACGCGCGAAATCCAGGTCTTCTATGTTCTTCACGTCGGTCCAGGATATCCCTGTCTTCTCGTTTCCCACTGTCTGACGACGCATAATCCAGTCCACCACAATTGGGAATATCATTGGTGATAATAAGCACTCTTGTCTGACTCCTGTGTTTACTCCAAACGCCTCGCTGAGTTTTCCGTTGTGTATCACTTGAAATGTGCCGTTGTCGTACAGCTGTTGAATAAGGTTGATGAATATTTGGGGTACGCCGTAGTAGTTTCCAAATTACTTCGCGATCGACGCTGTCGAAGGCCTTCTCAAAGTCTATAAAGTTGAGGTAGAGGTTTGATTGCCATTCCATGCTTTGTTCGATGATGTTGCGTAAAGTTGAAATTTGGTGAGAACATGATTTACCTATCCTGAATCCAGCTTGTTCTGATCGGAATTCTGCATCCAGTGCGTCCTTTATTCTCTCCAGAATGATGCGACTCAGGATTTTACTTGGCGTCGACAGGAGCATGATTCCTCGCCATTGGTAGTTTCACGAGGTAACCCTTCCTCCAGTCAGTAGGCACCTTTCCCTCGTTCCAGACTTTTTGCAATAATGGAGTCAACATATCTACTGTCGTCTCTGGGTCGGCTTTCAGTGCTTCAGGGGGTATTCCATTTGGTCCAGCTGCTTTTCCAGCTTTCAGAAGCTTGATTGCTTTCAAGACTTCAGCTTTCGTTGGAGGATTGGGGTCAACTTGCAGTTGTGTACGTGCTATTGTTGGTATTTCCGAACAGGTTGCAGGTGGTGGTTTGTTCAAGAGTCTTTTGAAGTGATCCACCCACTGTTTAATCTGCCTTTCTTCCTTGGTAATTGGGTCCCCTTGGCTGTCTTTTATAGGTTTCAGTTGTGTTGATCTCTTCCCAGATAGAGACTTGGTTATCTGATATACTGTCCTCAGGTCCCTTTTGACCGCTGCCTTCTCAGCTTCAGTGGCCAAGTTGTCATAGGATTGTCTTTTGTCCTTCCTGGCACTCTTCTTCACTTCTTTGTCCAGTGCTGTGTAAGTTGAGCTCAGCGTTTCTTTCTCTTGTTCGTCTTTGCATTGAATCATTTTCTCTTTCATCATTCACCTATCCTCTATTAGTTTTCAGTGTCCGTTGAGAGCTATTCCTTGTCTTGTCTCTTCTTTCTTCCTAAAACCGTTTAACACGTTTCGTTGAAAATCACCTCCAGAGAGTTTCAATGGTCTTCCAAGCATGATTCCTGAGTGGTGTCACGTAGTGTTTTCTGCTTTGCTCTGACAGTTGCAATGAAAGTGTTCATTGTGGTTGTGTCCTTCAGTTTTGAGTGTTGAACTTGCATTGTGGCCTATCCCCAGCTATCCTCGAGGCTTTTAGCTTCACCTTGAAAGTCTCTTGTACTAGGTAGTGGTCTGAACCCACATCTGCTCCTCTCCTCGACACTGTGTCGAGTAGGCTCCGTCTCCACTTCCTTGAGATTGAAATGAAGTCTATCTGGTTACGTTTGTGTGTCCATCTGGTGAAATCCATGTCGCCTTGTGTATATCTCTGTGTTTGAACACACTGCCACCAATCACCAAATCACTGAAGGCGCAGAAGTCTGAGAAGAGTTCACCATTGTCGTTCATTTCACCGAGGGCCTGACGACCCATGGTGAGTTCTCTTCCTGTATTGTCTCCTCCCAGTTTGTCATTTATATTACCTATCAGGATTCTGATATCGCCATTTGGAATGTTTGTAGTTGTCTGCAGAAATCCTCCTTCTTCTCTTGTTCTGAGACGTTTGTAGACACATAACTTTGAATGATTGTAACCTTCCTTCCTTTTGAGTTGAACCTGGCTATCATTATCCTGGAGGAGATTGGTTCCCACTGCATGAGAGCTTTAGCCGCTGTTGGTGACATCATGATGGCTACTCCCTCGGTGTGCTCGTGGTTGTCCTCTGGGTGACCGGAGTAGATTATTGTCTCCAGTTGGTAGTTAGCTCCTTCCACATCCGTTCCATCTGCTCTCTCAGATTCCCAACACTTCCATTTTATATCTCCTCATTTCTGCGGCTACCTGAGCAGCCTTTCCAGCTTCGTACATTGTACGAATATTCCACGTCCCTATCCTTATTTTTGCTTTCATCGAAAGAAGGCATATCGGCTGACTGGCTTCCAAAGGCTTTCACCAGCCTGCGTCATTTCACTTCCCCGATTCCAGTGAAAAATAAGGTTATTGTTTATATTTTTAGTTTTTTTAATATTTTTATGCGTTGATGTTTCTGCAGCATTTTGTTTAAGTTTTGGGGGGTGGAGTTGCTAACACCACGCCCCAACCCTTCCTCTTTATCCGGGATTGGGACCGGCTAGAAAACTAGCGAGCTAGTAATTTAAGCGAGGTTATACAATAGTATTTGAGTTTAATTGACAACAAACATAAATCTCGTAACTCGGGTGAATGTATGTATTTAAGTGTTCTCGCAGACAGACAGTCTAGAAGTCAACATTCCAGAAAGTATTTTTAAAGCAGGCATGTTTAACCAGGAGAAATAGATGAATATGCACAAAATGAACAAATGAAAACTGATTTCACAGTGAACCTGCTAACGATTAATAAAGAGTATTCATTAACTTCATGAATAATAAGAGGTGAAATAAAAAATTCCAAATAAGTGTTTATTTCCACGGAAATCTCTTTCAATAACTTACTAGAGAATAAGGCTTAGTTCATATCACTACCGTTGAATAAGGATCAGGTACAATGCAGAGAAAAAATCAAAAAATTAAGTTCCACTTCCAACTGTTCATTCACAACTAGAAGTGGTGTATGCTGTTTATCTGATAGAGTTTTAGTGCATTCTATTTATCCGTGTTAATTACTAGTATGTTCAATAAACAGAGTGTGAATGAATCCTGAAAGGATTTTCTCCTCCACAGCACTCATAAGCAGACAATATCAATCATGTAAACCTGTCGTTAGGATAGAAAATATGATTGTAAATGATCTTATAAACATGTGACAGGTAACTAACATCAAACTCAATAGATCCTTCAGAATAGCATAGATCACAATGAACCACGAACAAGAAATACAAAACACACTTCAATGTGAATACGTCCTCTTTTATACACTGGTAACACTCCGTGTGTATTGAACATGAATTCCGAATACACGGCTTCTGTAATCCCTAAAAGTTGACCAAAATTAACTAAACAGATAGGAAACATTAATTACAATGAAGCTAAATAGAAATATTGTAAGATATAGACAAAATGTTGATGACTGTTGAAGCATTGAGTATCCACAACTGAATGACAGATAATTAATCAGGTGAAATCTAGTAATATTTACTCTGTAATAACATTTATTCATAAGAAAAACTATAAAATATTTCCTTATTATAGGATAACTTGAGCGATATAACTGCCAAATACCGACAAGCCAGCGGTGGGATCACTACCAGGAGCCGTACACTCGCTGAGATCAGTGAAGAGTTAGAACGAGTCAAAGTGGAAATGGATGAAAAAGGTTCCAGTATGACAGATGGATCATCTGTAGTGCGTATTAAACAAGCGATTCAACGATTGAAGTCAGAGATTATAGCAATGGATATCAGAACTGGCGTTTTAGAGCACATTTTATTAAGAACACACTTACGAGTACGTGAAGATAGTCAGAAACCCTTATTTTCCAAAGTAATGGAATCATCAAATGGAGGTGGTGCATTTGTATTTTAACAGAATCCTGTCACTCCCAAATAGAATTTAATTTTCTTGCATATTAATGAAGTCCATCAATCTACTTTCCGTCTTTCTACCCTACCCATTCAATATCTAAACTTTGTAAAAATATATCCTACAGTATAAATATAACTCAACACATCATAAATAACTGTAAACCACCTTTTCAAAAACCATGTTTTACACGGAGTGGGCGTAGAATAACAGTGACTCTTAGAGAAACAACCAACTTAACAATGCCGAGTTATGTAATATAAACTAAGAATATCTGTACACAGTAGTACCACATGACATCCAGTTTCAACAAATCCAGGCTAAGATAAAAACTATCACACCGTATAGACAAATTGCCCCTATTAACTATACTAAAATCTGGTGCAATAATAATCCAAGCATACGGATTCTATAAAACTTACTAAAAATTTATTCAAATTAATAAGATTTCGCGTTCAAGTATCGATAATCCGACGAGCTGTTTAGACAAAAGATATCAAAATAAGAAGTAATTACCATTCCCTTAACGTAGAAGACAACCATAAGATTTCATTAATAAAATGAACTGCGAAAAATTTTCTTAAAGACTAAGCAGGTACATCAAATGAACATAATATTAAAAACGATAAAGTCCCATCCACACATGTAATGATCAACACAACCAGTTAAACACCACAGTCAGTAAACACGAGATCTCGAAAAGCCAAAAAAGATTAAAGACAAGCAGAGATTCTTTCTTGACGAAGTCAACCAGCCTGTATATTCGAGAATATATAACACAGGCGTGAGAAGGATCTAGACAAATTATCGTTAAGAGGTCACAATGCATAAAATACCGAAATGAAGTCGCGTGATACAAATATAGATTAAAATCAAAATCAAACACGAAGTTTGGATAACAAGCACAATTAGACAACACATTATCAGGGTGGGGCGCATGCATGTAGCATGCAATCAATCATCTTCGTATCTTGCACACAACAATTAAGTCGCGTACTATCCAATGCTACTTGGTAGATCTGGCAACAAGAAGTCCCGAGAACACCACCAGAGTATATGATAGGCTAGGCATTTCAATATTCATGTATTTGTAACTGTAGAGCCTAAAGAAGTTATTGGAAACAACTGCTCCCTCAGAAAGCATTCTCGTGTTCTGATTTTACTATGGGGATATGTAAGTTACAGTTATATAACGGTTTTCTAGACTCGTTAAGACGATCACGGCAAAGACAGGTTGGATGTCCTTCTTTTGGATACGGAGAGTTTGGCCTACATTTCTGGATCGCTAGTGCTTCATCTACCCCTAGATGTCTTGATCTCACTCCCTTTAAGAGACTTGATCGGATCTTGTATGAGACTTTGAGGGATTTCTTGAATGGAGCTGAGTGTCATGAGTTCACAAGGTGTTTTGTTATCAAACTAAAGACAGACTTATATCCTTCCTTTGCTAGCCAGGCTGAGCAGTGTTCACCGTCACGTTTTACAAGCAAACGCGTGGTACGACCAATGTGCTCACTTCCATAGGAGCAAGTGAACTGGAATATTCATGAAGTTGCACAATGTGACAGATTGTCTTACACGTAGTAACTGAATAATTTCTTGCAAGAGAGTGTTATTCAGAGGCTGGCATCAAGACAGGTTCTACTGAGAGATTTTGAAGGTCGTTTTCGGAGAATCTTCACCTTAGTATAATTTTGAGGCTCGACATTTGGCAGCGAAATCTGTTTGGGAGCAGTCTGAAGCTGTTCAGCCGGATATTTTGGTTTCAGAATCTTGTCTGTAAACGTGGGTGGGAGGTCATTTACCATCCGGATTCTTCAGTGATTGTTCACTTTGTCAACAGGTTCCTCTTTCTGTCTAGAGAGACAGGTATGAAAATTGGTGAATCTTCTGTCCCATGTGGGCTTTTTGTAAGTCGATCTCCTCAGTGAGTTCTTAGGAGTAGTTGGACGTCGAGGAAGTAGAACGTGGAGTCCGATTCTGCTTCTAGAGTGAAGTTGGTGTTTGGATAGGCATTAATGAAGGTTTCCAACCAGTTCTCCAAATTCGAATTCACACCACAAATAATGAAAGGACCGTCAATGTGTCTCATAGAGGTAGAGCTTATTCATTGCTGCTGATAAGATGTTGTTTTCTAGGCTTGCCGTAAAACAGTCAGGTAGGGTCCTAGAGGAGAACCCATCGCCACACCAACTACTTATCTGTAGATTTCGTTGTCAAATCTCAAGAAGATATCGAAGTTAGAGCTCTTGCACGTAGTGAGTCAACATACAATCATCGGTCGCAAGAGGTTGCATGGAATCACATAGAAAACGGGTGATTATTGTTAGTGCAATGTTAACGAAGAGAGAAGGGACGCCAAAGGAGATCATTACGTTATCTATCAGATTGATATTCTTAGTTGAATCGACAAGATGAAATGTGTCCCGGAGATTGTGTCTCGACATCTCCTTCACTTTTCCGAGAATCCCTACCAACCACTTCGCGACTGCATGATATAGAGAACTTACCGTATCCAGTAGTGCACAGTGTGGAACATCATGTTTATGTATTTTAGGTAAGCTGTACACACGCGGCGTTGTAGAAACAACCGGACGAAATTGTTCATGTAGTTTCGCGCGAATGAATGATTCGCCCCTCTTCTTATTTATTTAATACCTTTCCCACTTACAGGTCAGTCTGTTCAGCTGGACCATTCTGTCATTGGATAGGATTAATGAGAGTTTATCAAAATATTCTGATTTGCTCACTGCTGATGCCCCAAAACGTTTATCCTGATGTATCATGATCAAGTTTTCATTCGTTTTTAATTCACTCAACTGATTTCGATGTTCTTTGGACACAAATTTGCGAACGCTTGGTCCTTTGTTTATGTAATCAAGACACCAGTTTAAAACAGTTGATTTGAAATGGTCTGTATCATCTCAGGTGACTGGAATCAAATCTTGATTGCATTGTCAAATTGGAATTTTGTATCCAGCTCATTAACACTTATAACGTTGGTGCAAGTGCTAGGGTTCTCACTTAAATCGATGATGGTGATGTCCTGGAATAATTAAACACATTTTTCAGGGCAAGAAGGAAGGAATGTTTCTTTGATTATAAGCACTAGACTCTTATTTAACTCCATAATGACATCCTCACTTGTCTTCATAGTAGCCGCAGCACCATGCTTCTCGAATAATTTTCCTTCACATCAGTAGAAGTTTGCTGGACAAAAGGTTCTTAGCTGGTTCTTTATGAGAGTTCCTTGTTGCCTATCCTTCCTCGGTGGCCATCTGATCTCCAGTATCTAGCGGAGACAGGTGTTGATGATTGTCTGCAGCCTGCTGGAAATACTTTTAATGACGCGTCAAGTCTCTGAACCACATTGAAGCACTGACTTGATATTAGCGACGGAAATTTGGACCTTGTTCCTCGTGCTAAGCGCTATAGATCTTCCAGCTGAATTTAGAGTGGTGAACGCCTGTATTGCTTTCCCGATCTGATTCTTCTTGGCTTTGACGTCCACATCGCTGTCGCCTGTATGTAGTTGAAACGACCTTTCCGATGTAAGTGAAACAGACGAATTCTTTTAGACCCCTCCATCTGTTGATGCTTGTTGCTGGTGATCGGATATTTTCATCACCTCTGTTTTCCCTAGGTTAACGTGAAATCCTGCCTCCTCTAACGCCTCTGCCAACTTGTCGGCTTTCGCTTATATATCCTCAAGTTTTTGCGATATGACACACAGACCATCCGCGAAGTCCAGATCGTCTACGGTCCTGATGGAGTTCCTGCTGTCATCCTTAAGAAGTGTGCTGACATCTTATGTTACCCATTAACCGACATTTTCAATGAATCTTTTTCCAAAAGTATTATTCCTGACTCATGGAAAAATATCAAGGTTGTTCCAGTGCCTAAATCAACAAGTGGACCTACTGTTAAGTTTCGACCGATTGCTATTATCTCACCTTTTTTAAAAGTTATGGAAAGACTTATTTTACTTAATCTTGAACCCTCTTTAAAGCCTTTTAATGACTCCAACCAGTTTGCTTATAAACATAGTAGGTGTACCTATATCATAATATAGTCTCTAGTCTAGATAGAGGAGCCAAATATGTTCGGTGTGCCTTCCTTGATTACACATCTGCATTTTACTATGTACCTGGGTCTCTCTTGCTAAGTAAGCTTGCTGCAACAGAGAGTGAGAGCTGGACAAATAAGTGGTTGCATTCCCATTTTTTTCTGATAGGAAGCAGTACACCGTCTACAATGGAAAGTCCTCCACTACCTCACTTACTTTAGCTGGTGTTCCTCAAGGTGCTGTTCTTTCTCCTTTTCTTTTTTCTTACATGACTTGCCACATTCTGATGTAGCCACTTTTGTCAAATATGCTGATGACCTCTCTGTCTCCATGCCTGTCAACTCTCAGTCAGACTGTTCCAAATTAAATAACTTTCTCTCGGAAATTAGTCAGTGGTCCTCTTCAAACGGTCTTAAGCTGAATCCGTCTAAATGTCAGGTAGTAAATTTCACTTTCAGACGAAAACGTGACCTACAACAACTAGCTAGCTCACATGGTCCCACTATCATTGACGGCATAGAAGTTGAAACTACATCTAATGTCAAGTACCTTAGACTGAGTATTTCCTCCGATCTTTCCTGGTCCTCTCACATCTTGCTAGTTACTAGAAAGATGTTTCGCTTAACGTTCTACGTTAGGAAGTTAAGGCATTTTGGTATAAGGCAGTCTTTGCTTTCTCAGTTTGTCAGTTCTTGTATTCTACCCATCCCTCTTTACTGCTCCCCATTAATCTTTCCTGGACTACTTAAGAAAGACTTTGCTTTGCTGCGTAGGGCACTAAAAGCTGTTAGTAGGGGAAGTGGGACTTCGTCAAACCAACTGGTTAACACCATTGTGGATAGACATATAATGTCATGTAAGAAACTAGCGAATTCTATATTGTCAGACCCCGAACACCCTCTCTATACGCAGCTCTCTCCTTGCATTTCATCTGGTAGAACTAGAGGCAACTATAGGAGGCTATATGCCGGGACTACCAAGTACAAAAACTCCACAATACCTTATCT